AATATCTTTATAAACACATTCTTTTTCCACTTAAATTTGTATTTCTAACTCTTCACATACCCAAAAGACAAACAAACAATTAAAACCAATCAGGATGTGGGGGACCCAAAATGGAATACAAACACCATGCCCTGCATCCAGCTCTGCTGCCCCACTGATGTGGATGTGGAGCAGATGGGTCACCCAGAGGCTCTGGGCACGGTGTCGTGTGGGTTCTGTGAGGCTGAAGGCAGATGGGGCAGTATGTGAAGCTGCAGCTTCATGATGAGGGTGCCCCTCCTGGGACTGCGGCCTCTGGAACTGTATGGTGTATATTCTAGTGGGTGTCCCTAGTGAAGAAGTCACCGATAGGGAAAGGGGAGGCTGATGCAAACCTTGTGATTTTGGATTGGAATCTGGGATGTCACTGTAAACCCAGAAGAAGTGAATACCATACAGTGAAGGTTGGGGTGGAGGCTTGTCGGGAAGACATAGGGCCCACCTGAAGGAGCTCCCAGGGGCCCAGATTTCAGCAATAGAAGAAGTAATGATATACTGGATTATCAATACAGAACACATTAAAAAAAAAACCCACAAGGCCATGCAAATTAAGTCACTGATTAAACAGTAGAGTGGGGCACGGCGGGCTCATCTTTAATTCTGAGGGACAAACGCAAAGGAAGGAGGGAAGTTAGTTGCATGTCACCATCAGGCAGGCTTGATGCTGGCAACAGCTGTAGGCAGGCCGCTGGGGTGGACCTGGAATCTGGCCTTGTGCCCTGCTGTGCCTCTGTTCTCTCCAGTGACTGCTTGAAGTTTGGGTTTTCTATGGCCTTGGTGACTCCCTCTAAGTTGTCAAATTTCTTGGCATAAAGTTGTTCATAATATCCCCTATCCTCCTTTATCCTGGTGTGGCTCTAGTTGATCCCGTCTCGTTGGTATCATTGATATATGTCTCATTGGTTTTCATGATCAGTCTGGGAAGAGCCTTATGAATTATTTGTCTAAAAGAATTATCTTTTAGATTTGCTGATTTTTTTTTCTTTCCTATTCATTGATTTCTTTTTTTGTTTTGTCTTTTTTCCTGACTTATTTTGGATTTAATTTGTTTTTTTCTAATATCTGAAAATGAACCCTAAGATCATTGACTTGTAGCCATCTTTTCTAATTCGGGTATTTGGTGCTGAAAATTTCCTTCTAAGCACTGCGCACTTTGACATGTTGTATTTTCATTTTTTATTCATTTCAAAATACTTTCCAATTTTTGTTTGAAATTTTTTCCCTTGACTCATGAAGTGTATTATTTAGCTTACAAATGTTTGGGATTTTTTTTTTTTTTAGATCTTTGTTATTGATGTCTAACTTAATTCTAATTTAGTCAGAAAATGTTGACTTGAGTTCGTTTTGCTTCGTGGTCTATCTTGGTTTCTGTTCTGTGTGGGTTAAAAAGGAAAGGAATGAGTTTGCATTCCACTGTTGCTCTCAGAGTGTTGTACAAATGCCATTCTATCATGCAGGGTGGTGGTGGTGTTCAAATCTCTTACTAATTTTCTGTCTACTTGTTCTGACAGTTACTAAGAGCAGGGTGTTAAGATTTCCAGCTGTAATCAACAGTAATTGTAGTTGTGTCCATTTTTCCTTATGCTTTCTCAGTTTCTGCTTTGAGCATGAAGCCCTGTTTTCGGATGCAGGAGTCTTTGGGATTGGCATGTCATGCTGGGCCAACCCTTCCACTGTCTCCAAAATGTCTTCTGCATTCCATGAGATGCTCTTCCTCTATTACTTTGTCTGATGCAAATGTAACCTTTACACCTTTCTTTCTTTTCTTTTTACTTTTTTTTGGTACCGGGGGGGTTGAACTCAGGTCCTTGTGCTTGCAAGACAAGCCACTGAACCGGCTCTACACCTTTCTTTTGATCAGTGTTTGTATGGTATATATTCATCATTACATAGTCAGCTATCACTTAACGGGAGCCAGGCAGAGCTCCATGTTGTTGGGTGATTTTGTCATTGTGTGTGTGTCACAGAGTGTCCTTGGGTGACAGATTGATCTATGAGGCCACTTCTTTGTATGCTGTCATGTCAGATGCCTGTGCTGAAAGGGGTTACTTGTAGATGGCACATGCTTCGGTCTGTAATGCTTGAGAGATGGATTTTACATTCTCAAATGCACAGTACCCTCTCCAGACTGTTTTCAGGCCTACCTCACACACTTCCTGTTTATATCTGGAAGAGTGGGGTCTCTTTTACCCCCTCGACAACCTCTGCCCTTTAACTGGGTGTCTGGAGAGTCTGACGTTTACTTGTTTACTTGTCTCTTATTCTGTGAAGCTTCAGTTCTTTTATCCTCTTCTGCCAAACTGTTGCCACCTTTCTAAATGGTATAATTCTTCATATGCTGGACTTTTTAATGATTAGGAATATGGCATATCTTTTTTGAATTATAGTATTTTGATTACTAATTCCTGATTTTGATAGTGCACTGGTTATGAAATTGCATAATTCGCGCAGTCCCCTCCAACCTTATTTTTCTCATAGGCAATGGTATTTTTAATATAGTTTTTCTGAGTGTGAGGCTCTTCCAGAACATATATGTTGTGTCATAGCAGAAAGTCTTGGTTTTGTTGAATCTGCAGGTGGGAGAAGAGAAGGGTGCCTGTCAGTCTGGCAGCACTGCAGGAAGCCTGCTGGGCACCCGGCAGGAGCATTGCATGCTGGCTTCTCTAGGCAGCAGTTCACCTGTGTGAAGGAGGCAGAGCCCAGGAGGGTAATGCACACAGTCCCTAGTCTTCCACTGGGTCTAGCAGAGCTGTTCTTTCGGGGTGTGTAAGCAAACAGTTCTGGGACCTGTCAGAAAGATGGCCCAGGAGATGGAGAAGAGGGGAATATCCTGCCGTGCTCAAGAATATACCTCTGAAAAGCATTTACAATTTTAAACCCGGAAATTTTTTTTTTTTTCCTCAGAAGACTGGCTAGGAGAAGACATGGCTCTAAAGATAGGAGCAGGAGGTCATGAAGAGGAGGGACAGTCCAAGTAGAAGAGATAATGGAATGAATTGTCAAGGGAAGTGGTTGAAAACAAAGTTTAAGGCTTAATTAAACTCTGTATCATAAGCCATAAAGCTGACATTGTAGAAAACATCAGCAATTGTGTAGGGAACACACTGGAGAAGCTGCCCAGGAATGCAGAATAAACAACAGATGTGTCAGTGGTGAGAGAGGCCAGATCCCATGGAGAGATTCCAGCCAACAGCATAGGAATCTCAAGAAGCCAGAAGTTTAATAAGAATAATAACCAAAGATGCAATGGAAGAACATTTTCCTAGGCAGGAAGAAGACCAATAAGTATTGGAAGGGTCATGTTTTGAGCAAAAAAAAGTGAGTACACTTCAGCCCATCCATCTTCTGACAAAGCTTTTGAATTTCCAGGTTAGAGAAAAGAAAGATACACTAAAGGAATCCAGGCTGAAGAAAATGACAACAGCACCAAAACCAAGTCCCTCAAAGTTTAGACGGGAACGGTGGTCAAGCAGAGTTCTCCACAGGCCTGAGTGTGTCTCTGAAGCAGAGCAGGCTCTGCAGGGTTTGAGGGAGGAATGTTTATGACCCCAAGACTTTTATACTTGGCCAAGATGCGGTTTTTGTGTGAAAGATGCAGAATCCTTTCTGAGATTCACAGGGGTTTGTGGGATCATACCATCTACATTCTCTTCAAGGAAACGATGTTTCTTTCAGACCAATAGAGAGAGAAATAACAATCCTGAGCCTAAAGGAAATAACTGGGACAGTAGTCATACAGATATGAGCCACAGTTGTACATAATCATGTAAGATTGGAACTATAGTAGCCAAACCTTGGGGTAATCTTTGACATGATGGCTTGGTTAGGGTTCTTTAGTTACAAGCACGGGGGTGGTGGGGTGGGGGTTCTGGGCTAATTTAATCAAGAAAAGGAATTTGTTACAGTCTGAAAGGAAGACATGAACGCAGAAGCCTCAGAAGGTGCTGCTGGATCGGATCCGTCCAGGAGTGTCAGGGCACGCATTCCTTGATTTGTCTCTTGCACTGATCTTTGTGGCCACTATGTTCTTTGGAAGAGTCAGCTTTAGGGGGACACCCTGGAATCCACAGTTGCTCTTTGCCAGGGCTCCTCCTGACTCTGACATGCTGGAGGAAGTGCTGGCTGGAGAGCTAGGCCCTGTGTAGCCGGCAGTCAAGGCAGAGATGGCTGCAGGAGCTATCAGGATGTTTCCAAATGCCTGCCTCTGGGTTGCCTTTTAAATACTCTCCCAGGAGGGCTGTGCATTTCTTTTATCATCAGATAATGAAAAATAAACCCGAGCAGAGGTAGTTGCTAAGGTGGGAACATGGGAATAATTTAGGGTGTACCGTTAAGTGGAGACAGCTGAATTAGAATCCAGTTCTGCGAGCTAGCTGCATGACTGTGAATGTCTGTGGGTACAAGCTGGATGAGTGCGTGTCAGAAAGAAAATGTGTGTTGTGGGAGCAGGCTGAGGGAGTGATTTTCTTGTAAAATGTTTTGTTTTGTATTTATTTTGCAAAGTAATGTAGCCTGGAATACATTTGTATTAGTTGAGGTGGTAGGGTGCTGCTTCCTTCCAAAAGGCTGATGATGAGGAAACTTTTGGGAGGGGTAAGGATGATGCCACAGGTCAGAGTTCCGCTCCATGGCAGTGTTGGTTACTGGTGATACTGGCCCTCTGGAGACGTGTTTATTGTCGTGACTGCAGGTGGCAGTGATGCAGGGGACGGTCCCACCCCCTTTCCATGCCATCCGTGCTGGGGCTGGGAGCCATGTTGTGCAGTGGCACTTGCTCATATTTCTGATTTTCCAACAAAAGTCCTGACCAGGAATGGTAAAAATGGTTCAATATGATTTTTTTTTTTTTTTTTTACCAATTCCTGGTAAAAATTAGCTGAAGACTGAATCTTAGGGTCCTTGGTTAGAGGTTGCTCTACAGGAGACATTCCAGCCTCATCGAAGCTCTCTTCTTTTTCTAGCTGTGCAGGTTCACTGCTACAAGGCCCAGCGAAGACCTCTGCTCTCCCTGTGGATTACTTGCTGCACAAGGCCCCAGCAGTGAGGCTCGGAGCCTATGCGCCTGTGACCGACCCTGCTCGTTTCCTTACTCGTATGTGCTGGTGGAAGTTGGCAGCTCATTGGAGCTACTGTTTACGTGGAACTTTTGAGCCATTCTGAATCGACTGAAGGCTTAGACGCTGCTAGCAATGAGCTCTCAAAGCCGTCCAGGTAAGGCCCGAGTCCTTCACTCTCTGCAGGCAGTGGGCTGTCCTTGTAGCCTGCTGACTGGACTCCAGACCTTTGTTTCTCCCGATAATGGCCTCTGTTGCTTTCTGACAGCACTGAGTGCTGGTAGCTTATCTATTCTGTAGTGAAAGGGGAGCTGGTGAAGGCCTGGTGAGTACCTGGGTTTGATTTGCATGCGGATGTGGCAGTTTCCTTGATGCCAGGAGAACAGAATTGCTCTTGAGTGAGGTGCTGTTGGAAGGTCAGCTCGTGGTCTGGGCAGTTACTTTCTTAGCCAGCTGTTTGTTGCTGGGGTGGGGGTACCCTGTGATGGGCCCTGGAGGAGTCTGAGAAGGGGCCATGATCTGCACTCATGGGCAGTGGCTGGAAGTCGCTCTCAGGGTTCTTCTCTGTTTTGCTGGGTACTGCGCTGGGTACTTGACAAGCGTTTGGATTTCCCAGCAGCCCTTGATAGTCTCAGAGCTGCAGGGAGGAAGAGCCTTGTCCAAGGTCCCATTACTGGGAATGGTGGAGGGAACTGGAAGCCCCTGTGCCTCGCCCTCATTTTTCAGTGTGTAGGGACTTCATACCTCCTGACCCTGGAGAGTCAAAGCTTGCGTGAACCTGGAGTGCCTACGTGTCGTACCTCAAAAAGTGGGCCTCCTGTAGGACCAGTGCCACTGCTGCCCAGCCTCTAGCCCCTTCAGAGTACCCTGAGTGGGACCACCCACGGGTCAGTGCCTCTCCCGGTCCACAGAGGAGTGGGACTGGGTGGGCTGCAGGTCAGGTGCTTGCATCAGCGCTTTGTCATCCCTGGCTCTGGCTATGCAGGTGGCTCAGTGCCTGGGCCTCTCCTTCTGGGCTTGCCCAGTGTCACACACCCTCAGAGAAGGGCGTGGTTGGTCTTACCTGAAAGTTCCAGAGGGCAGGGTTCCAGGCTTTATTTAGCCACAAAGACTTTATTTATTCAGATTGTTCACGTATTGATTGATGTAAAGAATGGTTTATGATCATTGCAAGAAACATAGACTCTGTGCCGCTCTGCCTGGGCCCCTGGGTGGGTACTGTCCAGGGGAGGTATTCCTCTCTGGTGTAAACGAGAAGCATTAAGCATGCACACACTTCAGCAGTATGCATTGTTTCCTGCTTTTTTCTTTTGTAATGTGGTATGGGCATCTTCGATGTCAATATGTATATAAGTGCAGTGTTCTTTTCAGTAGCTTGTAAATGGATATTAGGTGGTTGCAGGATTCTTCATAACAGCTCCAAATTGGCCTCAGACACTTATTATACATATGTCTTGTACATTTCTTTAAGTGACTTCACTGGACAAATTCCAAGAAGTAGAAGCTGGCTCATCTGTCAGTGTGTGTCTGGTGTCCTTGGATGTACTGTGATGGTGCTCCAAGCTGGCTTAGCTGACCTTCCTAATCACTGCTTCCACTCTGTTGTATCAAACAGCCCTGGATAGATTGTATCTAGTTTATTTTTCTTAGCATGCTGGGGGAAATTATTGTGTCACCCTATTGCTTAAAATGGAGGCGTGTACTTTTGCCTGACCAAGCATAGACATAACTTAGATCTCGTATGTGACACGCAGATGTTTGAAGAAAAGTATGCTCTTACTGTTATTTTTTGGTTCAGAGAAATCCATATGTATTTATCAATACTATACTTAATTTTTTCTCACTGATATGTTACATATTTACATATAGGAATACCTGTAAGCTTTATATGTTATTGATGTATATTAACTCAGTTGACTTATTTAAATCAACAAAGCTTTACTCTTTTTTTTCGCTTAATTCTTGGAAAAGTGAATTTTTCTATTGTGATGATACTTTTGAAATGTTCTTTTCACATTAACGTTTTATTTTTATTTATTATTTTTTGCTCTGTATTTCAGTGTTTTTTCAGTGCTTAAAAATTGCTACTGTTCTTATGGTAGACCAGGTCTCTTTTCAAGGTGTAGTGTCTTTCTCTTGATATAATGTTTATTTGCCAAAAGTTTATTTTGTTTAATAAAAATATTTCTGCCCTGGTCTTTATTTGGTTAACAGATATTTCCCCATCCACTTATCTCTGACCTTTCCTGACTACCTTCCTTAAGGCTTATCTGAGTAAACATAGACAGCTGGATTTTGACTTTTCCCCTCCAAAAAGAGTCTTTGCCTTTCTTTATGGGGAATTTCGTCCGCTGGCATTTATTTCCATCCCTGGCCTCTCTGGGCAGCCTTGCCCTCCTCTCAGGCCAAGTGTGCGTCCTGCCTCTTGCTCACCCTGCACTCTGACAGGTAGGTTGGCAGCAGTGCAGACAGAGTAGGGCTGCCTCTCGGCCAGAGCCCCTTCCCTTCTGTCTGTTGCTGGAGCTGTTTGCTTGGGGCCCAGAGCTTGCTGGATTCTCCTGCTCCAGCCCTTGGCTCTCCTTCAGGGTCTGCACAAGCTGACGCAGGCCCACCCACTTGGCTGTGCTGCTCTGCAGCTCCTTCCTGGCCCATGGCTGGGCCTGGCCTGGGCCCTCCTTCACTGTGCTGTCGTGGGGCCTCACTAGTGACTGCCTATTCCTGTGATCCCATTGGGTTTGTTCACGGTTTCCAGGAAGTTCTCTGATTTTTTTCATCAGCTCATGTACTTGTTCACCTACTGTCAAATGTTGCTGTAAATCTTGTCACAGTTTTTATTCATATTTTGTCACTTTAATGACTTTGAAGGAGAAAAATAGTAGTAATTAATACCCAATTACTCAGTTTGCTCTCTCCCTCTTTCTCTCTGTTTTTTGGTGCTGAGGATTGGACCCAGAGCCTCTTGTATGCTAGGCACGTTTGGTTGTTGCTCCCTGCACTGCTTGTCCTCTTCCCTGGTATCTCCAGTGCCTCCTTTCCTGGCTGGCTCCCAGCCCTCGCCCTGGCCTGCCTGGCTTGCCCTTGCCCGTCTGCCCACCCACCTGGCACAGGTCCTGCTGCTCGCCCTGCTTCTGTGTGGCCGGGTGCAGTGCTGATGGGAAGTTGGCCTAGTGGAGTCCAGCCTCCCCTGGGTTCCTTTGCTCACGTTGATGGTGCAGCTTGGCTCTGCCCTGGCAATGAAGTGGCATTTTGTTTGATGTGTGTAACTCTTGTCAGCCTGTTTTCCTTTAAACTCCCCCTGATGCTGGGTGGGGTATACGTTATGATTTTATTGCTGTTCTTTATGAACTTCGCCAGAGCCAGGCCCTGGCTCTGACGTAAAAGCTGCTTAACTGTTGGGATTTATTGCTCTAAATAACTGTTTCTAATGCTGTGAGGAGCCTGAGGAAAGGGCTTGGGTTGACTGAGCTTGTGAGAACTCTTCTTTAGGAAGAGGTTCTGCAGTGTGCACTAGCCTAACCCTGTGCTGCAGACCTTTCCCTGTTGGGATGTGAGGAGACAGGCCAGGAGGAGTTCCCAGGGCACTGAGTCTCTGGCATGATCCGAGGGAGTGGGGACAGACGCCCATGTGGCCTGCTTCCATAGCAGCACAAGCAGCTGCTCCTTGTTTCTTGTCCCTTCCTTTGTTTCCCTCTTGTCCTTCCTTGGGCTTAAAGTGTGCCTAGGACGTTGGTACCTTGACTGGCTACCAGGAAGACCAGACATTGCGCCCAGCTGCCTGTCTGGCACTGCCCCTTTCCTCTGGCGAGATCATCTTTCTTGCTAGAGCGTGCTTGCCTGGAGTCTCGTTGAGAAGCATTCTGATCTCATGGAGCCCACAGTGGATTGCTAGGACACGTCTGTGGCCACCCAGATGATGCCCTTGATAGATGGAAACAGGTTGAGCAGGGCCTGCACGAAGTCATTCAGTCATCCTATCTCTCCCTGGATCTTGGCAAGAGTGCTGGGTAGTATTTAAAAACTAAGTCACCACTTTGAGAACAGCTTGTTCAAGATCAGTGCTTTGATTTAGGCCATGCTATGGTGTCTTAATATTCTGTGTGTGTGAAATACCCCAATCACATGAAAGCAGCTGAGCAGTTAACTAGGTGATCGTGGGCCGAGGATTGCCTGATTTCTGCCAACCATTTTCAAGGTTTATCCCACGTGTTGCCTGCCCTTGGGTGGGGCTGAGCTGGAGACCTTGGGTTCCTTCAGTCTTCCTGCTCTCTTCTTCATTTATTTCATCTCAAATCTGTGGTGTCTGTCCACCAATTGACATGTGTTAACATAGAGATTAGCTCACAGGGGAATGTTCTTACGCATTTAAACTGTGCTGTGCCACAGTTGCTGTTTCAGGAATACTGTAGATTTTAGGGGAGAGAATGAATTCTTTGGGCTGCGGTTAACACAGATACCGATTATGAGCTGCTGGAGACAGAATTGCAGGCCAGAGCTCTGCCTAGGCAGTGGAGGTAACTGCAGCGCCACTGAGCAGCTGTGGACAAGGCCTTGCCCTTGGCAGACATGTGCAGGTGGCCACACAGCCAGCAGCAAGCAGGAGGCCCAGGACCTTCTCAGGGTTCAGGCTCAAGTTGAGAAGACAGAGTAGCTAGCAACAGCCGGAGAGGACCTGCTCCATGACCATCCAGGGAGGAAGAGGGGAGGCTGGACTTTGGGACACCTAGGATGTGGGCCGCGTATTGCTCCTTCCATGCTGTGTGAGAGGGGACATGAGATTGTGTTAACTTTTCCTTATTGTGACAGAATTCTTGAGGAAAACAGTTTAGAGGAGGCAACATTTACTTCTGCTCACAATTTCAGAGGTTTCAGACTGGCCTGCTCCCTTGCTTTAGGCTTATGAAGAGGTAGAAACATCAGCGAGAGAGGGGGGAGGGAGGGGAGAGAGGGGGAGAGAAGAGGGGAAGACCCCCAGAGGAAAGGAGCTGAGGACGAGGCATGTTCCTGCGTGGTACACACCCTGTAGCCTCACCTCCCAGGCTCATCACCTCCCAGTGATGCTATGAGCAGGCCAGTCCCCTGCCTGGGGAAGGAAGCACCCTGAGGGTCAGTCACCTTCACAGCCCATCTCTGGACGTCTCAGCCCCTGGGGACACACTA